ACAAACAGACAGACAGACAGACAAAAATTGCCAAAAATTTAATTAGTCTGTACCGTATTTATATTCATATGCATGTAGTAAAAAACGATTATTTCAATATTACAAACAGACACTCCAATTTTATTTATATGTATAGATAGTAACACTTATTCGATAACTGTCCAGGCGTCTGCTTTTAGGAAAGTAGACGTTATGTATATGTATGTATGTATGTCACACCCACTTTAATCAGCTAATAGAGGTGGCGGTATGACTTGTAGTGACGTCATACATCGATAAAGCTTGACAAATAGGCTATTGTGGTTTCCCAAGTATTACAGTGTTATTACCTTACTGTTTTTTTTTTATACTACTATGGTGGCAATCAAGCATACGGCCCATCTGATGGTAAATGGTTACCGTAGCCTGTGAACGCCTGAAGCACCAGGGGTATCACGTGCGCGTTGCCGACCCTTAAGAAACCTTAATATACCCTTCTTGAAAAACCCCATGCTGTAGTCTCGTGGGAAAACAATCTAAGTGTACGCGGGAGGAAACTCCTCTGAAACCGCACTGTTCGGGACCACTTAGGTCCCAGTGTGTGGGGATGAATTCCCTGTCGATGGCGAGCGGTGCGATGGTAAAAGGTGGCTGTCGGCATCATGTCGAACAATTCCTCAGAACACAGTCCGTTGTATAATCGGTAGAACACACAAAGCGAGGCGAAGTCTCGCCTCAAGCTGAGTGGCTCGATACCGACAGAGAGATTGGGATCATCGACAATTCTCAAGTAAAACTATAGGCGTGTAATGTGTAGGAATGAAGATAATATTTTAAGGAAGGTGTTTAACGGATCCAATAAATTAATACCACTTACTTTTATCACCACTAATGTTTAATATTAAGTAATTTACAGAATAAAAATTGAATTATATGTTATCAAACTTTTGTTATAATAATTTTCAAAATACGAATTTCGAATCATTACGTAAATAAAAAGTAAAATGTACTTAGATGGCCAAGGAGGTTTTATATTCATACTTAATCAGAAGGTGTTACATATTAATGTTATAAGGCTATATGTATATGTATATATTTATACATTTTTGAAAGTTGCGCCGGTTATAGAAAAGTTGCGAGGTAACAGATTGAGCTGGTATGGGCATGTTATACGGAGGAATGAGGACAATGTCTTATGGAAAGTGTATAATATGAATGTGGATGGATGTAAAGGGAGGGGACGCCCTAAGAAAAGATGGATGGATTGTGTGAAAGATGATATGAATAAAAGAAGAGTATGTTTAGATATGACGACCGATAGAGAGCAGTGGAAGAGGATGACATACTGCGCCGACCCCAAATAATGGGATAAAGGCAAGGCAATAATGAGTCTACGAACTGTGGTAATACACATACATGTGTTAATCAACTGTTTGTGATTTATTCTTAACGTAATGTTGTAACAAATAATAACAATGACGTAGGAACTGTGTGACCATCGTAAATAATAATCATATTAATAACACCATAGATAGAATATGATATTCTATTCTACATAGTAGGTTTACACATCGCCTTCCTTCCGATGGTAGCAGATTCAATTCCTTGTACGGTAAAATATATTCATGAGCGTGATTGTATGGGGCTAGGTGTTTTCTATATATTTGTATCAGTTGTCTAGTACCCATAACACAAGCTCTAGCTAGTTTAGCGTGGTATTAGATGGTGCTGTGTGAATTATCCTGAGATATTCTCTTATGGTGACCATACAAAATTGGCTGTTTTATGCCTGTTTCAAATTTTACTCAACGTAGCGGATCAGCAACTTGTTGCTATCTAACTACGTCAGGCGGTATTATTAAATAGGAGTATATCCATTATATTTTACTAGTAAATTTATGTTAATACATAAATTTATGTTAATACATAAATTTACTAGTAATATATAATTATACTAGTACTTAATTGCTTAAAACTATTAGGCATATTGATTTTAGAAGAAAAAGTATAATCTATCACATTTAAAATAAGTAATCATGTTGCTAAGTAACAGTTTATATGTAACGTGCAACTGATCGGAACGAGAATAAATTATATTTACTGCTGTATGTCTGTAATCCACTGAATATCTCCATCAAAAACCCATTCCCGTGGACGTTCGTTGATATTTATTTTATTTATATAAGTGTATATAATTTTATATTTTTATATAGAAAAAATATTTAATAATCTCACCCAAAAAGATTCCTCGTTATAATTTCAAAAATGACGATTTTCTATACAAATATTACCATCCTCTATTTTTTACCCCCTTAAGGGTAACAATTTTACAAACTTAGTCATATTTATTTACATTTAATGAACAGCCTAAAAGATAAGTTTCAAGATTCTAGTTTTAAAAATGACGATACTTCCATAGAGCCCTTCATCTCTCCTTACAACCCTTTATTCGTACTAAAGACTACCCTGTGTCCTTTCTCAGGGTCTAGACTATCTGTATACCAAATTTAATTTAAATCGGTTCAGTAGTTTTAACGTGAAAGCGAGACATACAGACCGACAGAGTTACTTTCGCATTTATAATATTAGTAAGGAAGTAAAGATATGAATAATCAACAAATAAATGTGCTAAACAACCTTAAAATATGCCAAATCTTACATAAAGTATGCTAAATTGGCAACACTGTTAGTAACTTATTGGGCATAATGCCCAATTTACACTCAGCCCGAGTAGGCAGGGAAGCGAGCAGCGCGAGAGTGTAACCACGAGTGGAAACACTTCCCATGCCATTAGCGCTGCCACTCGCGCTGGCCGGCCCTCGATTGTCGGTTTTTCGTGCGCGAGTCAAAGGACTGGCAGCGCGAGTGGCAGCGTGTTTTTACATTCAGTCCTCTCGCTCAGTTGTCGCCCGGCAATATTTCCGGCAGCGCGACTGGCAGGGGAAGCGGCTGAATGTAAACGTAGCACTAATTTCTCGTTACTAATATCTTCAGCTTATACTGTCTGTGGTCAGACCTTTTAAATTCCTAACGAGAATATATTAATGACTAATTAACGATTGTAATTACCCACACATTATCCTCTCTATGATTTTAAATTGGTATCTAATTTTTGTATATTGTTTACGTAAATGTACTAATATTAGAAATAAATATTAAAATTGGTGCATGTTTCCTGAATCATTACATAGTATAAAACAACGTCGCTGTCTGTCCGTCCCTATGTATGCTTAAATCTTTAAAACTACGCAACGGATTTTGAAGCGGTTTTTTAATAGATAGAGTAATTCAAGAGGAAGGTTTATATGTATAATACATGTATACCCGAGCGAAGCCAGGGTGGGTAGCTAGCGATTTATGTATATTTTTTAAATTCCAATACCATTAGCATGTGTGAGACCACAAATATTCTGTGTGAAACCTGACCACTGGAAGCGTTACCTTCTCTATTGCTGATCAAATTCCGACCGTTATTGAGTCTACACCTATATTGCTACACGTGTTTCGTCCCTTCCTATCGATCCCCCGTCCAATTCAAAATGGGATCGATATTACGACAACCTGAGCCGAGGTTTGGACCCCTAGCGGTGCCCTCAGACTAAAGTCATATCCGTCAGGCGGGAGTTGGCCTTCAGCCGCTCAATAAGTCCTTCCTTTGGTTTGGAGTGTTATCTGCACTGACCCTCTTCGTCCAGTGAAGCTGTAAAGGCCAGCTGCGGCCAACAGCATTAGAGTAGTCCCAAAAAAACGTGTTTCGCCTCTGAAAGAGGGCTCATCAGGCATTGAGTAGAGTTCGGATATAGCTTGGAAGCCTAGTTTTGGCTGTTCTGCGACCAAACTGGGAGTCAGTTGATAAATATACAATGAAATGGACTTCCGCAAAATAACATCTACTTCATAATAATAATCTCAGGACAATTCACACAGCACCATCTAGACCCAAGTTAAGCTAGCTAAAGCTTGTGTTATGGGTACTAGATAACTGATACATATATGTAGATTTTTTTTTGTAAATACATACATATTATACATAGAAAACACTCAGACCGATACAAACAATCGTACTCATGTGTGTGTCATATATGGTGCATGTTTGTGACTATTTGACTCTAAAATGAATGAATTCTTATAAAATTGGAAACACAAATAAATCAGACCGTAGATTAATAGTTAATACATAGCTTTTTGCTATAATTCTTGTAGATAACATGGCATTGTACAGTTACAATTTTTATTTACAAATTCAATGTTATATAACACTAGCTGTTCTCGCGACTTCGTCCGCGTGAAATTTAACTTTATTTTTCTAAAATAAAAGTAGCCTAAGTTACTCCTTATTACATGGTGAATGAGTAATATTTAGAATTTATAATGACTTGATTGATTTAATATTTGTACGCTGCCAAAAATGATCTTACCACCATTGTCAAATAAATATATCATTATTATTATTATTATCATTATTATTAGGTCCAGCCATTTCAGAGATAAACCGGACCAAACAGACAGACAGACAAAAATTGTAAAAAATGTTATTTTGATGTATGTACCGTATTTATATTCATATGCATGTAGCAAAAAACGGCTATTCCAATATTACAAACAGACACTCAAATTTTATTTATATGTATAGACTATTTCAAGATACTTAAAACAGTCCGAGGCTGTCTGTCTTCAAAGGCTAATAATGGAACAACGGTAATAAAATTTACTGCGCACTTGCAATGCTTCTTGCTCTTGGAAATCAAAACAATGCTGTTTAGTCGTAAACAATAATCGAGAATGTAAACAAAAAATTCTTAGACATTCATAATGGGACGCACAATGACTTGAAAATCCGTTTGATTTGCGCGTATTAAAAACAGTGACATTTTTAAGTGAATTAGATAACGGTGATCAATATAACAAAACTGTGAGTGAGAAATTGTGGAATAATGTAATAAATAAATTAACTAAAATGATAGAATATCCTGATATATTCCATTCAAAAAGTAATACTTGTAAGAAACACGATAGTGGATAATGATTATGAAGAATTTGAAGGTAACAGTGATGATGTAAAAGATGCAATGACAGCTAATACAACTGATGACTTGTGCAAGATATGTGACGGTAGAATAGAATGTGCACCAACTGCTATACTTCTAATTTCTTTAGTGCATACATTATACGGTCATATTGGGAATGAGCCTGATTACTTTGGTAATAACAAAGCTGAATTAACTAGAAAAGAGAAAAGTAGAGAAGAAGTATATACAGAATCTAAATTTAGACCTTATGCATATTTTGATAACATTAATAAGGAGGAAAGAAGGGAAAGAGTGGTTGAGGAGAATTATGAAAGAATAGACGTTGATTACGACTTTATTATCGTTGGTGGTGGAACCGCTGGTTGTGTAGTTGCCAGTAGACTGTCGGAAAATAGAAAGTGGAAGGTAAGATGTTGCTACAATAATGATTAACATATTTTTATTGCAGGCAACTTATTATTATAACTATATTGTATATACCTTATTTAATACTTAAACTCAATACAGTATATACATCTTATTTAACATCTGTGTACATTAAACACAGCAAAGTTATCATTTATGCGGGTAGTTAAATATTTATATATGTACACCTTCTTTTGTATTTCCACTAATATTTAATTTTGTATAAGTTTATGCTTTTAGTTCTCATGTTAAGTGAATTATTTGTAATTCTTAATGAGAATAAATATCTAAAACCTAAAATATTAAATCTCCCAAACATAATTGCTTTAGAAATCTAAGAATTTCTTGACTTTTCTATAATAAATAATCTGATATAAACATTCCTCTTAAATAACTCTAGCGATTGCTAAAAACTGCATTAAAATCCGTTGCGTAGTTTAAAAGATCTAAGTCTACAGACAGCGGTGGCGACTTTGTTTTATACTATACTAGCTATCGCCCCGACTTCGCGCAGGTATACATGTATTATATTTATAAACCTTTATAAACAGTAAAGAAAATAGTATAATATATTTATTTATTTATGTAAAATTTCAATAACTATATTTTTATTGTCTAATTGTTAAGATACTACTGGTTGAAGCTGGGCCGGAAGAACCTAAAATGGCACTAATTCCAGGTCTAACTAGCGAATTTAAAGGATCTGCCTTAGATTGGCAATATAGCATGCGACCAAAGAAAGGGTGAGCGTTAAACTTTTTAACAAAATCAATATGTTCAACAAAATGTTTTATCAGTAGTATGTATAGTTTTTTTTAATATTCTAGGTTTTGTCAAAATCGGGCTGAGAAAGGGTGTGAAGTTGTCCAAGGCAGAGTACTTGGAGGCACATCTTCCATCAACGATATGGCATACATGAGAGGCAGTCCTGCAGACTATGATGAATGGGCCTTAAATGGCAATGAAGGGTGGGCTTTTAGTCAAATTCTTCCCTATTTCAAGTATTCAGAAGGGAATTATGATAAAGACATTTTTAAGAACAAAATATATCATTCGACACAAGGACCGTTAGATGTGGGAAGATATCCGTATGTTGATGATAATGTAGATGTACTACTTAGTGCTTTTAATGAACTAGGATATAATTATACAGATATTAATGGTAGAAATCAATTGGGATTTATGAGAATTCAGACTATGTCATATTTTGGTGAAAGAGTTAGTGCATCCACAGCTTTTCTTGAACCCATTAAGAAAATGCGGTCGAATCTGGAAATAGTTTCAGAAGCATTAGTGACTAACATTTTGTTACAAGAAGCCAGAGATAGTGTCAAAGCTTTAGGTATAGATTATATAAAAAATGGTACAAAATTTAGAGCGAGAGCTATTAAGGAAGTAATATTGTGTGCTGGTGCAATAAATTCACCAAAATTATTAATGCAATCTGGTATAGGACCTAGAGATTATTTAGAATATTTAAATATTAAAACTTATAGCGATTTGCCTGTTGGAGCAAACTTTCAAGATCATCTATCAGTATGTTTGCCGGTCATAAAATTAACCAAAACAGCAACAACATTCAAGTTTCCTGAGAAGCTTAAGGATATTACAACATATTACACAAAAGGCGTTGGGCCCTTATCTGCAAATTTTCAAGTAATCGCATTTCTTGAAAGTAGTGTTTCTGACATTTTGAGTACGCCTGATATTGAAATAAGATTCAAAGGTCATAATTCCAACATGTATTATGATAAGATAGATATGTGTGTTTCTCTATTAACACCAAGGAGCCGTGGTCAAGTAATCCTAAATGCAACAGATGCTATATTTGGTAAACCGTTAATTTATCCAAATTTTCTCAAAGATCCGAGTGACGAAAAAAAAATTTTAGAAGGAATACATGAGGTTGTTAAACTATTTGATACAGAAGTATTCAAGACAGCAGATTTTGAATTCGATCCACGACCCATTCTCAACAATGAATGTAAAAACTATGAAAAAGTTTCTAACGATTTCTGGTCTTGCATAATCAGGCATTTTTCGAGTCCTCTACATAATTATGCAGGAACTTGTAAAATGGGTCCATCTAAAGATTCAGAATCAGTAGTGGATAATAATTTAAGGGTTTATGGTGTATTTAATTTACGCGTAGTAGATGCATCAATCATGCCAAAAATAACAAGAGGATCCACGGCTGCGCCTGTAATAATGATCGCTGAAAAAGCTAGTGATTTAATAAAAACAACTTGGTATTAAATAATCACTTTAATTTTACTTAGACTATTACTAAATATTCATCAATGTCATCTAGTACTATAATAATGCCCTTTATTTTCCTTCCAGTCTTTGAATATTAAATGAGCTCCCTTTTCTGCAATCATCATCGTGGGAGCTAATATCCCTCCACGCACATGAGTAGGCATTACGGAAGCATCTACAATTCGTAACCCCTCTAATCCATGGAGTTTTAGTTCGTAATCAACAACTGAACTAGTTTTATTTACTCCCATTTGACAAGTCCCTATAGGATTACTCATAGCTTTTGTATAATGTCTTGATATGCAGTTCCATTGTTCTCTGTTTCTTAGTCTATCACAAGGAAACGTATCTATGGGAGCTAGTTTAATTTCTGCTTTCTTCATTTCCTTTGTAACAAGTAACTGTAATGCTATATCTATGCTATCCACTAATGTAACTAAATCTTCTGATTCTTTCAATAAGTTTGCTTGTATGACTGGTCTACCATACTTAGGATTCTTCTTATGTAGCATTACTTTTCCTTTACTTTTGGGTCTGAGCAGTACTGGATAAATATTTACTAAATTATAATAAGGCAACGGGTAATTTATTTCTTCTGATACATGTATGCTTATGTTGTTAAGCATGAACTTATCGCTTCTAACAAAATTACCTTCTAATGCTAATTCGACATCAGGAGCATTGACACCTTCGTACAATTGTATAAATGCAGATACTTGATTTATACCTCTAGAACCTAAGGGACCATTACGTGATTGAAACCAACTCTTGAAGTCATTGATTACATCACTTTCACTAACTGTAACATCATTTATAAAAAACGAAAGACCTCCAGTTGTTACTTGATCTTGATAATTTAAACCAACAGGAAGATCAAGTAAAACGGATATGTTGCGTTTCATTAAATCATCTTTAGGACCAATACCTGACATATGTAATAATTTTACATTGTTAATTGCTCCGCCAGTTAATATCACTTCCCGTTTGACGTACGCTGGGCTTTCTTTACCTTTTTCTACTTCATAAAGTATACCTTCTACATTTTTTTCTTGTTTGTTTATTACAATTTTTGTTACTATCGCATTTTTTATAACTGCCAAGTTTTTTCGGTGTCTAATAGGCTTCAGAAATGCATTGTTAGTACTCAATCTTGTGTTGTTAAAGATGGTAAATTGATGGTTGACTACAGCTTCAGCAACGTTCGTATTTATGTCGAGATTTCGGAGTCCCATCTCAGTAAATGCAGATGTAAATGTCTCAATAATTTTGTCTGCGTATTTAAACTTCTGAACGTGCATCTCTCCTTTTCGAGCGTGGTATAATGAGTTCAAAAGTATATCGTAGTCACCTTTAAAAAATATTTCGCAATGTAGTTATATTAATGTAAAATATTGTGTACTTATATGACAACTAGCTTTTGTCCGCGACTTCGCTCGCGTTCATTTATCCCCTTAGGGGTGGAATTTATCAAAATGCTTTCTCAGGGGAAGCCTACGGCATAGTAACTTTATGCATGCAAAGTCTCAGTCCGATCGGTTTAAAATTGACAAAGTTTCATACAAACTTTCATCCCCTATTTTATCCCCTTGGGTGTAGAATTAATCAAAATCCTTTCTTAGCGGATGCCTACGTTACAATATCTACCTGCATGCCAAATTTCAACCCGATCCATTCAGTGGTTTGGGCTGTGCGTTGATAGATCACTACGTCAGTCACCTTTGAGTTATATATATTTAGATAATATAGACGTTACAGCCAATCATATTGGCTACAGCCATTTACTTTTACGTGTAGTATAATTGAAAGAACATAAAAATGCGCATTTAATTTATATGACCCACGTCCCAATTAAACCATTGACTTTTCAGTAGCTATATTTTGGACATATAATAAAAATAAAAAATTACCACATGCAAAATATGGTAACGGGAGATTTGGCATGGACCATTCTCGGTACTCACTAGCTTGGCTGTGACTGTGTGAATAATAAGTTTATGAAGTTCAAATTTACTCTTCTAGTTTATAATAATACTAGTAGACTCGGCAAAGTGCTGCTGTGGTTAAGTTTCTTGAATAAAATAACATTGCGACTATAAATTGAGTTAATTGATTAAAGCTATCCTAGCTTACATCTCAATTTATAGTCTTAGTCTGTAGATAGAATAGAAAAGAATAGAATAGAAAATCATTTATTCAAATAAACTTACAGTGAAGCACTTTTGAATAGTCATTACATTTCTTTAATCTACCGCTCATTCGGAAAGCTGTCTCATCACAAGAAGAACGAGCAAGAAACTTGCGTGTTGCTCTTTTAAATAATTTTATAATTACTTTACATTTTTAGTTTTAAGTGTGTGTATACAAACCACCAATTAGCACTAATTCAATTAAATACTCAAATAGAAAAAATATTGAATATATAACCAACTGGTTAAACAATTGATAAGAGGAAATCAGTCATAGTGATTAGAACAGACCAGTCCTTACAAGCATCTTTTATATCTATTTAAAATATAGTCGAGCGCAGTGATGCCAGCCATCACTGCGCTCGTCATCCATCAAACTCGTGAACGAGTGCTGCTTATACGGACTGGCCTGCTCTTATCACTACGATGATTTAATCTTATTGTGTTTTTATATTTGACCCTAATAAATTAGTGCTGGTTGGTAGTTTGTATTCACACGTTTCGACTTGTAAAATGTGAACTTACAAGGATTGTTTAAAAGAGCAACACAAGTTTCTTGCTTATTCTTCTTGTGAAGAGACAGCTTTCTGAATCAGCGGTAGATTTAAAAAAAATTCTTGACTATTCAAAAGTTTATTTGAATAAATTCTAATCTATCTTTCAAGTTGAATCAAATTGCACACAATGTACAAATCAAATTTACAATCGGTTCAGTAGTTTAGGAGTCCATCGCGGACAAACGTAATTATGATATATAAAGATATTACGGTACTTTATGCTCACCGTTATCTTCGGAGGCTTTGAAAAAGTCTAGAACATTGTCGAATTTCCATTCCAAAGACCCTAGCGCTCCAGTGCTGTGCCACCCATCATAATCTACTTTGGAACCTCTTGTATACTTCATATCATTCGTGACACTGGACCCTCCTAATACCTTCCCAGTCCTCACTTCGCAGCTACCTCCAGGTCTGGACAGACATGAGAAGCCATTTCGTTCAGTTCTATAGTTCCACAGAATGGGTCTGTAATCTTTGGTTGGTACACCAGGAATGTCGTAGTCTATGTTTTCCTCATCGCCTGCTTCTATGAGTAGGATCTGATGATACAATGATGTTAATATTAAAAAAATACGTTTTTTTTATAGTATAGGGGACAGACGAGCTTGCGGCTTACCATATAGTAGGTACTTAATGTATTTATATTTTAAAATTTAAAAATGAACTTCCTCAAAAGTTCATCTAATAAAAATAACTTCTAGGAACGTAGTTTTTTTTATTGAATTTAATAACTTTAACAATAATAATAACAACCCAGTACAATTCACACAGCGCCACCTAGTTCTAAGGCAAGTAGCACTTGTGTTATGGGTACTTAACAATTGACATAAATACATAATGTATATATTTTTTGTAAATATATCCATAATATATTTAATCCATATATAAATAGAGCTTATTAAACAACTGATATAAATACTTAAATATGTTTTTTGTAAATACATAGTCGTAACTGGCTGGCCGCAGCTGGCCTTTACAGCTTCACCGGACGATAGGGAGCGAGTGCAGATGGCACTCCAAACAAAAGGAAGGACTTATGGAGCGGCTGAAGGCCAACTCCCGCCTGACGGATACGACTTTAGTCTGAGGGCACCACTAGGGGTTCGAACCTCGGCTCAGGCCGTCGTAATTTCGATCCCCGTTTGAATTGGACGGGAGATCGGGACGGGAAAATGTTTACACCGTGCGAGGAATCGAACCCGACCATCGGTCATGAAGCGGTGTGCTATAACCGCTAGAACAGCGAATGCGTCAAAATTTTTCTTAGTTACCTTCCACTCTGGTACAGCGGAGAGTCTGTTCGCAAGAATACATCCAGAGGTCCCGCCGCCTACGATGATAAAGTCAAACACGCTGTTCTTGAGGTCGCGATCGTCAGACCTCGACCGGGTCGCCTTCGAGAACAGATCGCCTTCGACCAGTTCAGTAGCCAGTAGCACAATCCACGTGTATTCAAGGAGGCTACAGTTATATACATATAATATAATATAATAGAATAGAAATATAATAATAATAGAAATAGAAATAATCTTTATTCAAATAAACTTAATACAAGCACTTTTGAATAATCACATTTTGTTATTCTACCACTCATTCGGAATGCAGACTGCACAAGAAGAATGAGCAAGAAACTTGTGTGTTGGTCGTAAAAAGTAAGAAAATAGATTTTTTTTATTCAAATAAACTTCAATAGTAGGTACTCATCAGGAAAGCTCTTTCTTCTTGCTCCTTTTTCTTGTAATGAGACAGTCAGTACAAGAAAAAGGAGCAAGAAATAAAACTTTTATTATAGTCCAAATTTAATAAGTTGAAGCATATTAATTAAAGAATTTATTCCAACCAAAATTAGATGAAATATAATGACAAATGTCAAGTAAGTGGGATACTGATTCATATATATATATATATACGAGACTCGTATATATATATATATACATGCATATGAATATAAATACGATACATACACCAAAATAACATAATAAATTTATATATATACAAATAAATTTACAATTATTGTCTGTCTGTTTGTTCCGGCTAATCTCTGAAATGGCTGGACCAATTTTGACGCGACTTTTTTTGGCATTTCGCTGATGTAATAAGGAGTAACTAGGCTACTTTTATTTTAGAAAAATACAGTTAAATTCCACGCGAAGTCGCGGGTACAGTTAGCAACATATAGAATTTGTAACCTCCTCTGTATTTCATAATAACAGTGTTTATATGTTGGATAACAAGTACTTTTTTTTATTTTTTT